TGGTTCACATTCTATAAAAATATGTGTGTAATATGTAATAAAATTGAATAATTATAAATTAATTTTTAAAAATATTAATTTCTGAACACGTGCATTACACGTGTGTAATTTTCTTATCATTTCGTTAAACTAATTAAAATTGAATATAATAAGTAATAAAATCCAATAATTACAACTATTTTTTAGAAAATATAAGAAAAATTACACCAAATGATGGGCGTATTTTAAAGTTCAAATTTAATTCCTTATAAGTGGTTAACCGTTAATTTGGAACATCGATTAGTAAATAACAAAATTTCAATTTAGTTATGAAAAGGAAGAGGGGTTAATTACAAAGTTGATTTTCAAAATAAGATAATTAAAATAAAATACCACTTTTAGTATTTAGGTCTCATTTGTTTGCACTTAATGGAGGTCTGAATCTTAATCATTCAAATTCAGCTCATTAAGTACGTTTTATTTTTAGGTCTGAATCTGAATCGTGCAGATTCAGCCCATTAAGTTTATTTGTTTTAATTTTTAAAAAACCTCTTAATGAATCTGAAGAGGGTCTGACCGAATTAGATCTGTAAGAGACGACTCTTAACCACATTCAGACTCATTTGATAAGTTATCAAATAATAAATCATAATTTCTCTGTTTTGGGTGTGCGTTTTTATCTCATAACTAAAAAATTTCTTTCTCTCTTATCTCAATCAAACACCATTTTTTCCCAACTAATAAGTTTTCCTAAATCTTTTCAAGTATTTTTTTTTTCATATTAATAATTTTCTTGTATTTGTGAGTGTTAAAAACACTGGTTGCAATAATATTTTTGATGTGTTGTTGTTTATCAGAGTTTTTGAATGAAAACATAGTACCCCAAATCATGATTATTAAAACTTTTAGAACTTTTTTTTAATTAAAAGTGATATATTTTGTTGAAATGAAAATTTTATAATATTTTATTAATATAATGTTCAATTTCACTTCCACATTCAATATTGAAAACAACATTAATTATTTAGTATTCAGATTTAGAGACCACATCTTAATATTCAGATGTGTATTCAGATCAAAACATGTAGATTTTAATGCAAATCTTAATATTCAGATGTGTATTCAGATTCAGACCTCTTAATCTAAATGGAAACAAATGTAGCCTTAGTGTTGTAATAATAGTATGATATAATTACTATTAAATATTAAATTAATTAAATATTTATAACTTCTTTATTTAATATATGTAGATTAATATAGTAATTCAATTTATGATTTTGAAGCTTTCCATTTTTTGAAATATATAATGATATGATATGATGATAAATGATAATGACGATAGATGATAGATGAGATGATTTATTTTGCTAACTTATTGAACATATAAAATAATTTTTAAAAATTTATTTAATTCTCTCAAAAATTATTATTTTTTTAAAAATATTTTCTTTCATATCAAACACATTCATATATATATATATATATATATATATATATATATATATATATATATATATATATATATATATATTTGTGCTACTAACACATGCAAAAGGTCAATCTATCATTGATAATAAAATAATGTTGTACGAAGAAAAATTGTCTAATCATATATAGACTTAATCGCCAAAAGAATCCACTAAGAAAGAGAATTAGAAAAACATTATTTGGTTAATGTTCTTTATCCAAATTAAAAATAAAAACAAATAATTGGGGGTTTATAATTTGAAGAAAATATTTTTTAATTTTCTCATGTTTAATGGTTCAATTTTTTTTTTAATAGAAAATACCTTTTAGGTAATTACATCCATAAAATAAAAAAAAAAAATTCTTCATTGGTTTTCTCGTTTCCACTCTCCAATATATCTCATCTTCATTCAATTTTCGTAGCCCCCATCCCTCTCACCTTACTCTCCTACTGCACTTCTCATATTATTTATCTAAATTATATAAAAATAAATTTAAATAATATATTATACTTACGTACACACAAAAAAAAATCTACTTTTTTCGAAAAAATATATTTTCCTTCACACCAAATATACTCTTTCATCTCTTCTCTATTTCCAAGGGTATTTAAATTAAAATCAATATATTTTCTTGTATGCTTCACACAAGACAATATTATTACCTAGTGATTTAATATCTCTTTTTTTTTTTCTCCCCCTATATATAAAATGTTATAGTTAAATCCTCAAGTCACAAATAATCAACAAATACAGTTCAAGAAATGGCTAAGTCTCAAATTCACTATACAACCTTTCTTGTTCTTCTCTTTTGCTTCCTCATGATTGCATCAATGGGTAAATATCTTGCCTCTCGCATTCATGATATCTCATATCGTGATTAATGTGTTTCTTTTACGATATGCTATAATCCTGAATATTTTTATTGATCTTTTAGCCTTAGAAAGTGACCAGTAGTGCTCCATGTATTCTACTCCCTTTGTCTTAGTTTATCTAGCTTTTTTTTAATTTCGAAAGTTAAACGAGTTTTTTTAATCACAATCTTTTCATAAAACAGTTCAATATCTTGAATTATTAATTATTGTAACTTATAGTACTTTTTATTTATTATGTAAGTTTGTGTAAAATTTATTTTAAATTTAAAACATAAAAAAGGCCTATAGGTTTACGGTTAAAACATAAAAATTTGATTCTCGAAATTCGAACTATGACAAATAAATTAAAACAAATATGGGAGTACGACTAACTTATTGAACGACACACCCCCCCTCCCCCTCCCCCCCCCCAATCGTAGTGGAGAAATCAAAAATCTTGTTAAGGGTGTTTAAGATTTAATATATGTGTGAAAAATAATTTTTGACCTATTTTATTTCGTATAATTTTTTGTATACTATTATACATAGTATATCTTTTCGATGAAAAGTGTTCAACTGACCATCCTACACTACGTGTCGCTGCGTTATTGACTGTAAATCATCTCAATAAGGGTAAACTATATATTGCATAGTTAAATTGTTATAACAACAACAACAACAGCAGCAACATAGAGAGGATAGAGTACACATAGATCTTACCGCTACCTCAAAGATCATTTTCGATAGACCCTCAATCCAACGAAAAACAGTTTAAAATGGTCCAAGAAAAAAAAGAAATAAATATGTATCATTCTTCTTGGAACAGACTAAAAATGACATCAACGTATAAGATAAATTTAGACGAAAGAAATAATTATTTTCATAATATTATTAAATTGAACTAATACTCATTTTATCTTTCTTACACAGAGGTAGAAGCACTTGGTTGTGAAAAGCCAAGCACAACATGGTCAGGACCTTGTTTATTTAGTGATGAATGTAACAATCAATGCATCAATTGGGAAGGAGCTATCCATGGAGAGTGTAGTTTTGCACTTGGTCCTGAATGCTTTTGTTACTTTTGTTGATAAAATTATCATCATCTAAATTGATGCTCTATGTATGCAAAAATTAAATTTAAAAAAATAAATAAAATAAAAAGATACATGAAGTTTTGTAATAATGTGAGAATTAAATAACAAATGAGCAAAGTCATTTATCTATGTTGACTTTGTTTTTAATAATCCGAACTACATACTTAACATAATCACACAAGTGAAATCTGAAGAAGATGTTATGTACTGATCGTATTTTTATCCTGAGAGGTAGATGATTGTTTCCTTATAGACCCTCGATCAAAAAAAAAAACAAATGTGAAGAAATCAAGACAAATACTGAACAAAGTATTATGACAAAGCATTCGAAAAAAAAAAACAATAATTAAAATAAAATAATAGAATAATTGAAAAACAAAAAACAATAAAAAGTACAGGATAAATTTTATAAATAAACAACAAAATTCATCTTTGAGAACAACTTATGAATTTTTTATTTTTTTTATATATATATAGGAGCTATTTAAGGTTAAATCCACTTTGGGGTCCTAATATGTTACTAGAAATAAAGGTTTTTCTATTATAAATTAATAAGATATTATATTATAAAATATAATTTTTTCACTAAACTGAATCATCGGAAAAACACATGGTAGAAAATAAATTCTCATTAAAATATTAGAAATTAGCACTGAATAAACCAACTTGTCCAACCCTTATCAAATCTTAAATTCTTTGTTTGTGTTTTAAAATTTATTTTATTTTTTAATTATTTGTTTAAGTACTTCTAATATATATATATATATATATATATATATATATATATATATATATATATATATCAAATAATTGAGGTTTAAACCAGCTCACCCACAAATGTTTTTGTTCTATTGATGCTCATTTAAATTATAATAACATATGTATCATATTTTTTTTTATATATATATATATATACAAAAAATTTCGGAAATCAATAGATGCTCGAGCACCCGCGTCTAGCTTACTGGGTCCACCCCTGAACCTGTCCAAACCTAAGTGAAATAAGTTGACTATGATTTTATGAGCTAATTTTATCGTTTTTATCAAGTCATAAAATTTTTATCTCCAATTATATTATTTTCCTACTATATTTCATTTGTTTTTACTAGGAGATAAAATAATTTCCTTTTTTCTTCAACTTTATGTTGTTATTTAAATGCATTACATTATGTCATTTTCCTTTAATCAAGTTGACTATGATTTATGAGCTAATTTTATCGTTTTTACTAACACAGCATCGATTTTTAATCTCATTATAACTTAAATGAAAAGTCATAAAATTTCATCTCCAATTATCTTGATAATTATTTTCCTACTACATTTCATTTGGTTTTACAAGGAGATAATAATTTACTTTTTCTTTATCTTTATGTTGTTATTTAAATGCATTACATTATGTCATTTTCCTTTAATCAAGGTGAAAACAGTATTTAGCTAATTGTTAGTTAATTACAACCATTGCCAAACACCACTTTTTTCCCAGATTTTACGTTTAACCAAAGATACAATAATGTTTAGATATTTGTTGTTTAAAAAAAAAAACATATTATTACACAACAACAAAACAAATTAATTGTATCAAAGTTACTATAGAAAGGTAAAAGTATAAAAAGAAACATATTAAGTATTATTGAATTTTATATTTATATAGGTTTGAGTTACGTTCACTTGTTCATATATTGGAAGATAATAGAAAAGAAGTTTTTCGAGAGAACCAGAATGAACTATCGTCATAAAAAAGGTATATTGTCAATAAACAAAAAACATTTTACATATTTCTTCATTAAATGTTAAAATATGTCATCTTTTTTTTTCTTTTTTTTTTCATTGAAGTTTGTCAATTTCTTGAGATTGAAAGATGCATAAACATTTTTTTGCAGAATAAAAAAATGCAAATCATCTTATCTCTAGTCTCAAAATCTTGAATAAATGTATAAGTATCCCCAATCTATGCCTGAAATTTTAGAGACACACTTATACTATACTAAGGTCCGATTATCCTTCAAACTTATTTTATAAATGATTTTATGTTACGTGACACTATCTTCTAGATTCTGCACGTGTTGATAATTTTTTCAAGCTATCTAGTTGATAATGTCATGTAAGCCGAAAAGGGATAGAAATTATTTGAAAATAAGTTCGGGGGTAATGAAACCTTAGTATAAGTGTGTCTCTGAGATTTAAGACATAGATTGAAATATTTATACCAAATTTAAGAAAAGAAATTTGTTGGTACATGTCAACCATTAAATGGAAATTTAATACAAAAAAACAGATGTAAACTATTAAAAAAAAGTGACATCCAAGGAAGGTTTTATCCTCTTGAAGTACAATCTGGACTCATGTTAACCTCAAATTGATGATTTCAATATTTTAGGAACTTTGTGGAAAAAAAAATAAAAAAAAATAAAAAATATATATATATATACTTAAAATAAAACAGGCAGTACCTCACTTAGAAAAAATTATTTCTTTGTGTTGCCTCAATTTACGTAACACTCTTTCCGTTTTAATTAATCACAAAAAAAAAATTAATCTATTGTTATATTCGGTATTAATTTGACTTTAAACTTCTCTGTTTACAACTCCCTCCTTATTTATAGCCGTAAATTTTTTAATGGCTTATTTTTCTCTTAAATTTTGTATCAAGTCAAACATCGTAACGACATTGTTTTTATAAAATAAATGTTCATGGTTTTATTGTAGTTAGTATATATATATATTATAAATTTCTATATTGGGATTTTTGCCATTTTGCAGTATACAAGTATGGAAGAAAAAGAAGTTTCAGGTAGAGAGGATGTTAAAAACCCACTCTCCATATTTTTCAGAGATATAAGGTAAAGTTTTTTGCCATTTAATTTTATTTTTATCTTCTTGGTCAAAAAGTTTAAGATTTATCATTTAATTTAAAAGGTTTATATACACACTTTACATGTAAAGAAATTATAAAATTAATGTGTTCTTTTTCCTCATTTATATCCTTTGTGTCGTACCAATAATATTGCTCAGACTCTTTAAAAAATGTTGCCGCACTCATGATAATCCTCAGAAACTGCACTACTTTAGGAGGAATCGACATACATCCTATGGCTACAAGAAAAATTATAGGATTTTTCGTCGCCAATCCATAGATAAAATTCTTGTAACTAATAGATTTTTTTAGATAATCCATAGCTAATCCGTTGCTAAATAGGATTAGTCATGGATTATGCTGTTGTTATTGTTGTTTAGCTATAAAATTTTGTTCCATTGCTAATTCCTGATATTTTAGTAGTGATATTTAAAGAGTCTGAGTAGCATAGTCCTGTACGATATAGAAGAGAGGGCACAGTTAAATAATAGCAGGCAAATGTATAAATTTTTTGTATATTAATATATAGACATAATACATAAATCTGTCCTTTAACATTGCCTCATTTTATATTTACGTCATTCAGTTTTGAGCGTGCGCAAGTAGACATTTTAACTTGTATAAAATTGAACAACTACGCACATGTGTCCTATGTGGCATCCTACATGGCAGTTTACGTCCTACGTGGTGTCCTGTATTGTGCTACATATGACTAATGTGTCTATTTGTTCAACTTTATATAAGTTTTAGTGTTTATTTGTACACATTCAAAGTTAGAGGGTATAAATATGAAATGAGGTTCAGTTAAATGGCATATATATGTATTATGCCTGATACATAATATACATATTTTATACAAAAAAAAAATGTATATTTAACTAAATGAATGTAATTATTTTCGATCGATCGGTCAAATGTGTAACTTTATCCCTTCTTTTTTTTTCCTTTGAGCAGATCAATTTTTAAATTGGATGAACTTGGACAAGAAATAGGAAGGATTGCTCTACCTGCTGCACTAGCTTTAACAGCAGATCCAATTGCATCTCTGGTTGATACAGCATTTATTGGCCATATAGGTATCAACTTCACAAAAGTTTATGTTTCTCTATTGTCTTGCGATTAGAGGCGGAGCTGGGATTTTTAGTTCACGTGTTTCGACTTTTGGATTGCATTTTTGTTTCTCTCACTGGATTCTGAATAGATTATTTGTACAGATTAAACAAAAGAGTTAATGATCAAAAGTATCACTTTTTTACGAGTTTTCTATATGAACTATCAGATGTTCATTTTTTTCTATCTGAACTATCATCAACTATTTATCATAGGCATAATACATAAATGTGCCCTTTAACTTGACCACATTTTACGTTTATGTCCTTCAACTTTGGATATGCACGTAGACACTTAAATTTGTAGAAAGTAGAACAAGTAAACACACGAGTCCTACATGACATAATACACGTAGGACACCACGTAGGGACAAAAAATGACACGTAGGACATGTGTGTCTATTTATTCAACTTTATACAAGTTTAAGCGTCTACTTGTGCACACCCAAAGTTGAAGGATATAAATGTGAGTTGAAGCGAAGTTAAAGGACATATTTATGTATTATGTCATTTATCATAACACATCTTAACCATCAGTTATTCCCTTTTCCTACGTCATTTATGTAGAGGTGTGTTTGATAAACGTTTTTTGACGCCCTAGCTTAAGATTAAAAGTCCCACATTGGCAGAAACACACGAGAGATGTTGGTTATATAAGTAAGCAGACCTTACCAACTAGTGATGAGTTTTAAAGCCGTGCCGGCCTAGGTCCAAACCGGACAATATCACTATCGGATTGGGTCGTTACACATTTGTTGATAGTTAATCTAGGAAGTTCGTAGACCTGATATCTCAGGTATGAAACTCGAAATATCAAGATACTTGAGGTGTAGTTTTGACTCATCAACACAAATATAGAGTGAGCTAAAGTTACTGAATTCTGTCGAACACATTAGTAGTATTGTGGCACATAAGCTAGACTTATAAACTGAGGTGGATGTTGAGCAAAACAGGTTTAAGATCATCAAAAATAAACTCGAATTTGGTTCAAAACAGGTGCGATTGAGCAGGCTGCTGTAGGAGTTTCAATTGCTGTATTCAATCAAGCATCTAAGATTGCAATATTTCCCCTGGTCAGCGTAACAACTTCTTTTGTCGCGGAGGAAGATGCAATCACGAATGCAAATGAAGACCTTCAAGATGACAGGTGTATGGAGAAGAATGAAGGAGTTGATGCTGAAGCATTTGAGACCGATTCACCGTCAAAGAGTGAAAGCAAAAGCCTAATACCTAAAAATGGTATGTTTTGGAAAGTGAAAAATCAAACGCTTTTTAAGCAGTTATGTGTTTGGATAGAAGTGTTGAAACTGAAACTAAGTAGCTATGTTACACACTCGAGAAATGATTTCACGTGCATGTTTCCGTTTCTGCTTTTTGATAATGACACTATGTTTTCAACTTCTCGTTTTTCCTTCAGATTCTACAGAGAGTGTATGCAAGTCCGAAAATCTAGTTACGAGCTTTGAAATAGTGCAATGTAAGCCTGAAAAGAGACACATTCCATCCGCGTCATCTGCATTGATCATTGGTGCTGTTCTTGGCATCATCCAAGCAGTATTTCTTATCGCTGGAGCAAAGCCGTTATTAAAATTCATGGGAGTCAAAACTGTAAGTTGATCTCTTCGTATACAGAGAGGGAAGAGTACGTAATTTCATACTCCCTCCGTCCCAATTCATGTCAAGACGTTTGACTGGACACGAAGTTTAAGAATCATTTGGAAACTTGTGGTTTAAAACAATTCGTAGATATTTGTGTGTCTATAAATGATCTCAGCAAGGGTAAAACGGGAAGGACAGAGTTGAATTGTTATGCTTTCTAGGACGAACTAAAAATGAAAGAGTGTCACATGAATTGGGACGGAATGAGTAATTTTTTTTTCCAATTTATATTCTTGTATCCTTCTTCCAACTCTTTGGTGTTATTTTCTTTTACTTTTTTTTCATCTCGTTTTTTCGGATATAGGTGAGGCTCTCATAGTGTCAATTTCCGGTTGTATGTTGATCATTTTACAGGGCTCATCTATGTCGAAACCAGCACAAGATTACCTGAGATTGAGGTCACTTGGTGCACCAGCAGTTCTCCTCTCATTAGCTATGCAAGGTGTATTTCGAGGTTTTAAAGACACGAAAACTCCACTATTTGCTACTGGTAAGTAATTAGGGATGTGTGAGATGTGATACACATCGTGCTTTCAGATTCAAGCGTCTTAATCTTAATAAAACAAACGAGGCCCTAAGTCTGACTTTGGCTTTTTCATTTCCTGTGTGTGTTTTGACATATCATACAGTGGCTGGAGACTTGGCAAATATAATTTTGGACCCTATATTCATGTTCGTTTTCCATCTCGGTGTCAGAGGTGCTGCAATCGCTCATGTAATTTCTCAGTGAGTAGATTCTAGTCTCTCCTCATGATAAATAAAAATCGCGAGGCAACAGTTTTACTGATTAAAGAGTTCGCGATATAATTGGAAACATGTTCTTATTACTTGGAAATTGATATTATAGGTACCTAATTTCAGTTATACTGTTTTGGAGACTATTGGAGAAGGTCGATGTCGTGCCTCCTAGTCTCAAGTATCTTCAATTTTCTCGATTTCTTACGAATGGTAAGTATTTTCTTGCTTTTGTAAACTACTATTTGTTGCCTCACTTGGTATTTTGCTGTCATATTTTCTTGCTACTATGTTTCGAATTCTTTTCTTGTCTGTCGAGCCGATGGTCTATTGGAAACAACCTCTCTACTCCCGCAAAGGTAGGGGTCCTTTAGACAGATCCGACTTGGAAACAACCTCTCGACTCTCTATTGGAAAGATGTTTTCTGAAATGTTGAACCACGTCTGTTCATCAGATTTCGTTCTGTTTTTTCTGTCTAGAAAGGAATTTTCACTTGAATGCCAACTCTAAATGTATACCTTTCGTACTCGTATAGAAGTTAAACTGATTTTTACTTCTTTTTCTCTCCGAATTTCAGGCTTCCTGTTGTTAGTGAGGGTCATAGCGGTAACATTCTGCGTAACATTAGCTGCATCGTTGGCTGCAAGGTTAGGACCAACGCAAATGGCTGCATTTCAGGTCTGCTTGCAGATTTGGCTAGCTACATCTCTTCTAGCTGACGGATTAGCTGTCGCTGGGCAGGTAAGACGCGTAAAATGTAATCTCCCCCATCAATACTTTTCGGCTGTCTAAGCTAAAGAGACAGAGGAAAAGACAGAACGATTTCTAACCAGATCGATGTTATCACATGTTTTCGACAGTCAGACCTCTCTATAAAAATCATCTACTCGAACAACATTTCACTACAACAATCATGTTTGTTGTGGAACCCTTCTTTCATCTTATGTTATATTATAAGCTCGCGATAAAAGCATTTAACTGTAGCTGCCAAAAAAAAAAACTGGACAAACGATGTTGTTATACAGACGTTTGACTGAACATTAGTACTTTCATATTTGCCACCACGAGAAAGCATCAACGTTCATCATATTATGTGAACGAACTTCAACGTTCCTTTTCCCTTTTCAGGCGATACTCGCAAGTGCATTTGCTCAAAAGGATTTCAGTAGGTGTACTGCAACAGCATCAAGGGTGTTACAGGTACTAAAAAGGTTATTAAACAGCAGAGTACTCATATACGAGTAGCTATAGTAACGAACTAGTTCCTGAAAACGTGCAGTTGGGAGTAGTTCTAGGACTGGTACTAGCACTCGTTCTTGGAATTGGTTTACACTACGGAGCACGAGTATTTACAAAAGATGTCAATGTCCTAAACCTAATTGGCATTGGAATCCCGGTACACACCATCTATACACACGTCCTTGAAACATTACAAATCTTTTACAATAGAACGTGGTTCAGAACTTATAACCATTTCTTCCGATTTCAGTTTGTTGCAGCAACTCAACCGATCAATTGCCTGGCTTTTGTCTTCGATGGTGTAAACTTTGGCGCGTCTGACTTTGCATATTCTGCATACTCGATGGTAAGCTCACTCGAAACATTCATTTCTTGCTGTCAACACATAATAAACACACTATGCTCACAGTAGGTATGAACTTCCCTTTTACATTGTAAAATATATTAGTGTTGCCACATTAGTCTCATCTCTCAACCTATGTTGTTCTGACTCTTCAAAAATGTCGAAGGGTGTGTGTCAGATGCTTCAAAAGTAGTGCATTTTTCGAAGATCTGACAACATTTTTGGAGAGTTTGAGCAACCGATAGGTGTCAACTGCATTTGAATCACTCACACTCGCACTTCAACTCAATAAATGTCCTCAAACCACCACCACTCCTACTCTCGTCTTCACACACAACCACGCGCTCATTTCCAAATAGAGAATTACTTTCCCGAAGAACTCTTTCCTCGTGATGTTTTGAGGATAATTTATTAAACGTTTATTGACATGAACACGTTTGGTTTCAGCTGACGGTGGCTCTTTTCAGCATTATATTCCTTCTCATTCTTTCATCGAGTTATGGATATATCGGAATTTGGGTAGCTCTAACCATCTATATGAGTTTAAGAGCTTTAGCTGGCTTCGGAAGGTAAGCATTCGAAAAACCAAGACTTGTAGATTGTTTGGTCAAGCTTCCAAAATCTGCTTTTAAAAAACAAATTGGATGATAACAGTTTGTGTTTGACTAATCAATTGAAGAACACTTTTGCAATAGGCATAATACATTAACATGTATTTTAACTTGGCTTTAGCGAGCAACTATGACCTTTAACTTTGGGTGTGCACAAGTAGACACTTAAATTCGTATAAAAATGAACAAATAGACACATTTGTCATACATGGCGTCCTACATGACAATTGTGTGTCCTATATGCCGTCCTATGTGTATTATGCCACGTACAAAGCGTGTGTCTATTTGTTCAATTTTATACAAGTTTAATGTCTACTTGTGCACACTCAAAGTTGGAGGGCATAAATGTCGAAGCCAAGTTAAAGAAGGGCCTTTGCAATATTAACACAATAGTTTGTGTCTAACCTAGGGCTCCAAAAGTTCTTTACATTTTTTTCCCTAAAGGCTTAATCAAACACGTCAACTCTCTGAAATAACCGCTTTTTGTTAAAAAATCATCATTTCGCCTTTTCAGAAGATTGGTCAAACAGGCTATTAAGGCGACCGTGGGATTTAGAAGCACAATTTGTTTATTTTTTGCTTCTTGGTTTGCAGGATAGGCACCGGGACAGGCCCTTGGAAGTTCCTCCGGAGTTGAACATAGTTAATCTATATACATATATACCCAATGTAATTCTACATGTAGGATCGGGACAAGGTAGGATGGACGTAGCCGTTAGCCCTACCTTTGTGGGAATATAGTAAATTTGTATAGTTACCTTAAATTCCTTATAAGGACCAAAGAAAGCATAAGAGGGACCTTATAGGGCAATTTTTGTTAAATGTTGTATCATAAAGTAGCATTATTTCATTTAATTCAATCAACACTTTGTAAATGTATAAATATGTCCCTATTATATTGTATTTTATTTGTCTCGATTTATTTAAACTTTTTTTTTCAGTCATTCTCAAAAAGAAAATAATATATATCCCTGTCTAATAGTAATCTAACTTCACTATTTTTCATTTAATTTTACCTTTATTACAAAAAGATAGTGCACGATTATTACATAACGATATGCTAATATCAAGGGTCGATACAACTTTAGGTTCACAGAAATTTAATATTTTTTTCTCAAATTCTATTAATTTATTAAAATATTTAGGGATAATGCCCAAGTACCCCCTCAACCTATGCCCGAAATCTCAGAGACACACTTATACTATACTAAGATCCTATTACCCCCTGAACTGCAGATTCAAGTTGCATCTCCAGCATAAACATCGATATTTATTAGATTGAATTGAACTACGGAGTAGGAAGGGTTAAAGTTAAAAATTGAATTACAATTTTGCACCTACTATAAATCATCACATAAGAACTATAAAACATGCTATAATTTTACACCTACTATAAATCATCACATAAGAATTACAATTTTACACCTACTATAAATCATCACATACTACGGGGGTAATAGGACCTTAGTATAGTATAAGTGTGTCTCTGAGATTTCGGGCATAGGTTGAGGGGGTACTTGGGCATTATCCCTTTTTATTCTATAGTTAAAGTAGATGAAAAAGACTCTTGAATTTTAATTGAATACGAGACAAGGAGTCCATAAGAACATGAAAAATTATGTACTAATTTTGTATTTATTTTTAATCTATATCAAGGTCTTAATGTATACATCACATTATAATTTTATTATACATTATAATTTTAAATTTTAAATTTTAAATTGTTAACAATGTGATGTAACAATGAATATCGGTTACACGTGCAAAATCCGTGCTTAGAGAATAAGAAAAATTGTTTTACCATAAATTCAAAAAAATCAAAAAAGGGGGAATAAATATTACTAAATTAAAAAAAATTAGGGGGGAAGCAAAAAGAAACTTAAAATGATCTGCACATACAAGTCTACATCTCATAAACCTGAATACTTATTAGATTGAACTGAATTGCGAATATATATATCAAAGTTAAAAGTTCAATTACGACTTTACTCTTACTATAGATCAAAATGTTATAAGCAGTTAGTTATTTAATAGTTTAAATTAGTAGATCCAAAATTTTGTACATAAATTACTCAACTTTTCATAACTTTTTTTTCGTAATTCCTCTCATTATTAAAATAAATTATATGAATAAAGTATTCTTTTTTATGAGTCCTTTCCTCCATAGGGTTACCAAAATCTTTCAAATTTTACAAATTTTTATAAAGACATGCATGCTTTTATGAAAAGAGATGTAAATGATTTGAGGATACTTTGAGAGGAAAGTATCAGTTGTTGTTGTGAAAGATTTTCTCACATAAGGATTCATGTGATCGAAATTTTTTACACCTAAGTTGAATCATGTTTTAGGAGTTATTGTAAATAACTTTAGCTTGGGTTAGTTGCTAAATTGTGTCTCTCCATGGATGATGAAATGAATATGATTAATGACTATTTCGTGATATTTTACTTAGCACCAAGAGAATATTTGATATAGATGCTTTTCCATTAGTAGAGGTCGGGTATCTAGGATAAATCTTTTTTTCTCTAACTACGTGCGCCGTAGGATGTCTTAGCTAGTGGATCCGCATAAGCTAGACGTTTATGATTCTTACCTTGTCAAGTAGGACATCTCTTTTCAGTATAGGATAGACACCAGATTTCATGTTTTATCTCACATGGTCTATGTCGGTTAATGGTAAACATCCCACAATAATGAACTATATTACTCTCAAAGTATCTCAGTAAGGGTTTTAAATATGTTAAGCTTGCATTGATCATGATGATAACCTGTGTTTTCTAACCTTCTATCTTATGATTTAGCTTGGTCATTGCATTTCATTTATGCATTGCTATCATACTTAGTACATGCATGTACTAATGCATACTTGTGTATACATTATTTCACTAATGTAGTGTCTGGTGCTCCTACCTCGCATACTTGTGGTTAGTTGATATCCCTTGTTAAGTCGAAGATTGGTGAGTCCTCATGGTCCGAGGACCAAGTGACTTTTATAACTTTTCTTTCTTTTTTCAGTTTTCAAACATTGTATGTGGTGTATGAGTTACGTCTCCACCACTTTTTTTGATTTATTAGATGACTTATTGAGAGTATGTTAGACTTCCTCTTTGTATGACGTATGCTTAGTAAATTGTCTAGGGTGTCTCAGGGCTCTGTACGCCATATTACACATAAGGTATACTTTGAGTTGTGACAAAAGAGCAATACTAATAAGTTAAAATTAGAATGGATTAGGTTTTAAGCAAAAGCAGGCACACATCTTACAAGATAATAGAAATAAATATTTCATTCTAATTTTAATTTTATCATCTTAACTCTCTAAAATAAGTGTTTGTAAGAAACTCAGAATCTCGAGCGAACTCATATTTATTAATTTGGTATTGAAAACAAGCATGAATTAAATAAAATCCACGAAAGAGAGCTCATCGTTAACTTGCCAATGAATTTTGAAAATGAACCTTTATAAAGGGTAATTAATGAAGAACATATAACTGAAGAAGCAATAAGCGAAGTTTATAAGGTGACTTAAATTTAAATTTGTAAATCTAACATATACAATTCAACACTCAAAGAAATATTTGAAATACAACCTTGTAGGTGGAAGAATTAAGTCATAGCATCCTTTTCTTCGTCGCCTTTTTGGTTTTCTCCACATTTTCTCTTACCACCAAAATCCTTTTTGCTACTTGAATCTTCTTTTTTCGAGCAGTGCATATTGGAATCTTCCAATGAATCTTTTCCCCTTGAAAGATTCCAATTATATTCATCTTCAACAAGTGACATCCTGGTAGTACACTGTCGAAATACATGAAAACTATATGAGACATACTCAAAATAAGTTTAGCAATTTCTTTTTTTGTTTTATCAAATATTTAAGTACGAAAATTACAGAAAGAGAAAATTGTTGTGTTCACCAACGATACTTAATGTTTAATGAAAGAAAATATAATAGATGTAAGGTGTGTATATGAATTACCTTATAGAGGTTGCTGATGGAACGGAACTTTGTACTCCTTGGTAGCCCCTGTGTGATGCGATAGTTTCCATTATTTTCATCTCTTGCCAACAGCTTTGAGCCACAATTGACGTCATTGTCGTTTGAAAAGTGATAAGACTTACTAGAAAGATTGTCTTCACTTGTGACTTTGTTGAGCTCAGGCTCACCTAAAGATCGTGCATAACCAAATGAGAGGGTGCGTAAAAGTTTAAAATCAAAATGAAATCAATACAACTTCAAATTTTTTTTTGAATCAAATCACGATTTATAATCAATATAAGTTTAGCATCTTAAGCTACAAGTACTCCACCCTATGCCATTTAGGTGGAGAGTTACTATAAAAAAAGATATGTCATTCTTTTTTCATGGATAAGATAGGATAATGTGATCAATAATACAAAAAAATTAGAATTTTTCGCCATACAAAAAATTAACACAAGTGTCAAATTTTATGAGATGTAAAATTATTTCTCAAGCACCTATGATGTTTTGTTGTTGTTGGTCAGGTAGTTCCTTGTCGATAGAGTCCTCTTGATCCTTTCTTGTTTCACTTTCATCGCGTTCTTCAGTTATCTCCTTTTGTACTACAACCTATAAAATTCACTTTTTTTCTTAGAAATAATTGTAAAAGAAACATTTATTGTGGAATACAATGAGCGAGCTCATCAAAAAAATTCATATCGACAAAAAATAAATTTATTTTCTCAAAATTAATAGTTTAAAGTTTATTTTTTACTTAAATAAAGTAAATTTACATAAGTGATTATTAATCAATTACCTCACATAGGTTAACAAGGGATTGAAACATAATCCTCTCTGATATTCCCTTATTTAAATGGTCTTCTTCATCGTTATTCTCTTTTGGTGAAAGATTTGATCTATTATCACCAATGTTCTCAAACTCACCTGTTAATCATTAATAACCAATTCAAAAATAAAATAATTAATAGTATAAATAATCAATTGTAAGAATTTTAAATAAATTGATTATTTACGTACCATGAATAATATTTTGTTTTATTTTGTTAGGTACTATCTCCTCGGAGATATTTACTTGATCCTTTTCTGTTTCGCCTTCATTGTGTACTTTAGTTTTATGGTTCTCTAAAGTACTTGTATGCCTATATTCCTCTTCGGGTGGTGAGAGTCTCTTTGTATTCTGTAAAATAAAAGGAAATTTGATATATAAGCTAACCAAAATTAATAAGTATATACAAGATCGATGTACTGAAATCATTTTTCATTATAGTATAAAACACCTTGTATATGTCAATAATGGAGCGCGATTTTTTGCTTCTTGGCATCCCTTGCTTCAAGCGGTGATAGTTTTGATCTTTTTCATCGCTTATGGGAAGTTTTGGGCTATTATCAGTGTTGTTGTCCTTTTGAATATGATCGATATTATCCAAGATACAAGCGTTACTTGTTATAACGTTGTTCCCCAGTTCACCTGAAAATCATGCAAAACCAAATGAGAGGAAATGACACACATAGACAATACTAACGTTGTGAATACACGAATCTAAATTTTTTTTTAGCATTATTCTCCAATTTCCAAATCAAAAGAATTCAAAATAAAATTAATAAACGTCTAAAATTTCTTAGATACCATTGATGTCTGGTTGTTGATGTATCGCATTCTTGCAATTTCCCTCTTCATTATTGCTGAGTGACTGAAAATAAAAAGTTAATTATGTAATAGAACTAAAAGACCACGATCAATGAATCATTTAAATAAAAAATTCATGTCAAAAGAAAACAAAAAACTTATCTTGGTATTAAAAATGTTTATAGTTGAATAAAAAAATGTAAAATTAAAAAAATTATGTTTGAGAGAAGAGAAATTCAAAAAAAAAAAGGAAAGGAAAAGAAATAGATAAATAGAAAATATGAAAATTACCGTAATGATGAAGTCAATAATATTTAAACTATTCATTGTATTATCCGCCATCACCTGGTAGTCTGCATCTTTTCCCTCTTTGATAGAAAGTTTAGAATTACTTCCTCTGTTCTCTTTCATTTGTTCAGTTTGCGTTTTGAACTCACCTAAAGAAATATATATATATTAATTAAATTAGTCAAAATATTTTTACAAAATGATAACTTCAAAATTTTAAATTCTATCATAGTACTCCAACTAATTTTAAAAATAATGAAGAATAATTAACACAAGGCAATTAAGATTTAGAATTAATTGCATACCCTCTTTGCCCTTTTTCTTAAATACAAAGAAAAGAAATATCAATTAATCAATTATACATTCCCTCACAAAGTGAAATCTTTCCTCCATGCTAATAATTTCAAAGTTGAAAAATAATATTTTTGATCAATTCCAGATGTTTTTAAAAAATAAAAAATATCCCGATTTATTTTTTCTTTTAATAAAATTATAACATTATAATAATTGAAATAAATGGAGGGGGGGGGGGTTCTTTTTTTCAATCCTTGGTATGTTTTACTTAAAATCGAAGAACAAGAAACTCCACGAGACATAAAACAATCAGATGTATCTAGGATTGACATAGAAAAATCATTTTTACCACAAATTCTAAGGAAAAAATGCTAAATTAATGAAATGCTAAATTATTGAAATAAATCGCACATTTGTTAAAATGAAATGCAAATCCAAATCGGGATTTTTCTTTTTTTCAATCCTTGATATGTTTTACTTAAAATTGAAGAACAAGAAACTCCACAAGACATAAAACAATCAGATCTATCTAGGATTGACATAGAAAAATCATTTTTACCACAAATTCTAAGGAAAAAATGCTAAATTAATGAAATAAATTGCACATTTGTTAGAGATATACATATATATATATATAAAATAAGGGGCAAAAAAGGGAAAAAATAGATGAAAAGATGAGTTTTGAATAGTGATGTTTAACATTAACTGAGTTATACTAAATCTGTAATTTATTTATTTTACTTTTGACCAAATGACATTTTAAATTTTTTTATTAATAATGTTTCATATTAGGAGAGTCTGCAATAATTACATTTTGAAATTTTTTCCAAAAATGGCTAATTTTAATTAATTTGATATTATCTACTTTTCACACATTCAAACTAGTAGATAATACTCTCTTCAAAAAGTTGGTGAAATACAATCAAATTCAGGACTATTTAATTTAATATATTTTCATTAATTCTTATTTTGACCAAATGGATTCAAATATTCTCACAAAGTCAAATTGATTTAATACTCAATTTGAACAGTGAGGTTTACTTTCAAAAAAAAAAATAAAGAAGACATTAGTAATTAAAGTTTTAAAATTCTATTCTACCTAATAAAAAATGGATTTTTGAATTAAATAAATAAATTAAGAAACTAATAAATCAATTTTTCATTATTTCGTATTTATATGTTTCTTTTATATCATTGAGTTATTCTCATGAACAACCAAGTTAGATATTCTACGCGGAGAAAAAAAATAGGACAGTCTAAATATTTTCTTTATCTCAATTTATGTAATATTTTTTATTTTTTACTCAGTCTTAAAAAATGATATTTTTGTCTATTTAGTAGTAAATATAACGTTATAAAACTTTGGGATGATGTACAAGTACCCCCTCAATCTATGCCCGAAATCTCAGAGACACACTTATACTATACTAAGGTCCTATTATCCCCCTGAACTTATTTTATTAATCATTTTCTATCCTTTTTCGGCCTACGTGACACTATCTTGTCGGCCGAATGCTGATTGACTTTTTCTTTTCAAACTAGTGTCGCGTAGACCGAAAACGGGTAGAAAATTACATATATAATAAGTTCAGGGGGTAATAGGACCTTAGTATAGTATAAGCGTGTCTCTGCGATTTCGGACATAGGTAGGTTGAAGGGGTACGTGTGCATTTTCCCTAAAACTTTTTATTTACCTTTAATAATGAGATAAAAATTCATAGTGTGATATATAATGAGATGATTTATCGCTACAAAAATTTCTTTGACTTACATTAAACTAAAAGTTTCAATAGTCTTCCTCTTCTCTTTTGAAATTCGTGACCAATCAACGCCTACGTATAAATTGAGACAAACAAAGTATATATAACGAATATCATGTTAAAAAAACCACAGATAGTATATACAATGTAAATTATATGAAAAATACATTGTATTGAATAATAGAATAAAGTAAAAAAGTATAAGTTGAAATAGACGAAAGACTTCTTTGTTGAACAATAGATGATTAAATACTATTTGAAACAGTAAAATTGACCAACTAAATTTAGCTAGGTAGGCAAAACGTGTAATGAATTATATCATGAGCAACATATAACATATTTATGTATTACATAATACTTTTTCATAAATGGTGTTCTTAATGTATATTCCACTTTGTTGTTTTGATTACAGATTTCAACCGTTCGAGTATTTTCATTTATCCACTTATAATTTTATAATTAATAAAATATTAATTAGCATAAATCACCAAAATACTATCCAAAAGTCAATCTCTAACACTTCTATGTCAATACATCAATTTAATTTTACATCTATGTGCAAAACTTTAATATAAGTGCATATCCTACACCTAAAAGGTCCATAATTGAACCACGATTATCAATACTTTTCATATTCCCTTTCAGTTTGAAATGGAGTTGCAAAAAGTGAAAAGCTCTTCACATTAAAAAGTATGCTGACATTAGGTAATATAAATTTAATAATAAAATAATATGATAATTTTGAATTAATTAAATATTTATACAACATTATAACTTGGTGTAAAGGGTGAAATGGTAATCTAACTTTAGGTAATGTCTTATCTTTTTATGAATTTATTTTAGTTAGGGCTGTTTTGGGCTTAGTCATGTTTGTATGTTTTCCTTTTTTTTTATATATCAAATGGGCTTTGCCCATCGGTTTTAACCACAAAAAAAATAACAAGTTTCTTGATCATTTTCTTTTTTTTTAGGGGGGGGGGGTTGTGTGGGTGGGTAGGAACAGGTCGAGATGCGACGTCGATCACATCGGGTGGGGCCATTCTCTCAGAGCAGAGCTTGAAACAAGGGTCAGAACATTAGACGGGGTTCAACTATGAATTTCTTTTGGTTAGTATAACTTGATTTTCAACTAAAAAATCAATTTTTTTCTTTCGATTTTTGAATTATTTTACTGCCAATTTCAAATCTTATCAATATGGATATCATTGAACTACTTTCATTTTTGATAGCTGAGGATCATTTCAGTGATTGTGTAGTGGACGAAGTGCTCTTATTGGATTGTTCAATGAAGTTTCGACACTGAGGTAGGTTTTGGCTATCCCTCTCTTAGATTGAGATGAATAATTAACATGTTCTTAGGAAGTCAACCGTGAAATTAGTATCATTAGTCTTAGAAGTTGATAAATGTTGACCTCTTTGTGTAGTTCGTATGATGCTTATTTATGATGTTTAGCATGTGTGAAGGCTTGTGTGATTCTATTAATTGTTGTGAAAGCCTGTGTTAATTGAGAAATTTCCCAAGCGAGGGGATGTGTAGTTTATCATTATACTTAACATTAAGATGTCCGAGCGAGGGATTTGAGTTTGAGTTTTGAATATTTTAAAACGAAAGTAATGTTTTCTAAATGGTAAAGACTGATTTGAAATGGATTCCTCCACTATCTCTTTATAACTTGATGAATTTAGGAACTTGATGTTATTTGAAGTCCTTGGTGAACTAATTATACATACGTGTAGTATGTGTTGTGACGCATTCATCCTCATGCAACATATCATTGGTCGTGAAAATATGAGAAAATTGACAAACACTATCTTTTTAAAAAGAAAATGTGACACCTTATTTATATCCTTAACCACGAGCTAAATGACAAGTTGATGAGATATTGAAATATCGTTGCTAGAACCACCAACGTTCAAAATCTACAGGTTAGGTATAAAGTCTAATTATGGTGTTTCAATATTGGGAGGAATGCTTCGCTTTTACTATACTCATTATCAATGGCAGATGGACGGATCTTGTAAGTTGTGGATAATGAAAGATTACGATGTAAAGGAACCTTGCACTGAGAATTTTACTCTAAAAGAGACTCGTTTTCATTCAATTGTACCAAAATAAAGGTCTGCGGATGGTAAATTACTACTTTGCTGCAAATTGGATGGTTATTCTGTATTTAGGACATCCAAAGGACCATTTGGATTATGGCCTCAAATTGATATGCGTCAAGACGGTGTGGTTTAAACAAGAAGCTTGATTTCTCCAAAATCACTTCTTTCGCGTTTGATTAATCATTTACGATCAAGAACATCAAATATGTCATCGATCAATTTCTTTTTCTAACGTCATTTTCTTTAAGTTTTGGTTTTATATTTAGTAAATACTAGACTTCATGAAGTTGTAATAGGGCCACTACTTGATACCCTATACACTTTTTAGACATGTTTGAAAATTGTGTTGCACTGTTCAATTCTGCTCGATTTTTTTAATCTCTCTTGATTTATTTTCTCTTTAATGTCATTTTATTTTATATGATTTTGACTTTTAATTTAGAAAATGTGGACAATTTACAATACCACTACTTTATAATCACAAAATACCTATTAATTTATGAAGAACAATAATGACAAGTTAAAATTAGAATGGATTAGGCTTTAAGTAAAAGTGGGGCACACATCTTATAGTAAATACAAATGCAATATTGGTGCTTTAAATTTAGAGGGGCACACATCTTAAAATACAAATGTCTCATTTAAATTTTTAGAAAAGTAAAATGTTTTTGTTCCATATTTGAAATATGCATTAATCGAACTCAGTAATTTATTGTGTAAAGTAAGATAAAATAATATGAATTACGAATCATAAAATTTTGTATTTAAATTTCAACGAAGATAAAAAGCAACATTTTATTCAAATTAGTGTCACACGTATATTTTATATTATTTTTTTAATTTTATTTTTAAGCATTTTCAACTAAACATCATATATCTATCTTTATCAAATTTAGTTATATATATATATAAAGTCATATATGCTTTAAAAACTTGTGGGGGATTAGGTACATAGCTTTTGACAAATGTTATTTTTTTCTTGTGACAAATTTTTAATAGGGGATAAGAATCTAATATATATATAAAATATTACTTTTGAAGTTTTTTATTCTTTGTGTTGTTTGGATATTTATTTATGATTTTTGACACATTTCAATCGATCCTTTTAGATAAAACGGTTTGTTACATTGTATATAGTATTTTATCAAGTTTTATTTCTATTTTTTCATTATTTCTTTATCTATACTGTATTAAATTTTTTATTTCCTTAAGCTAAAGGTCGGCGAAAACATTTTACTTTACGCAAAATCAATTTTACTTTATAAATTAAAATAAGTTATTATTATAGCAAATTAAAATTCATCTCTCAATAAAAGTTTGAGACATTTTTTTTTACAAAAATATGCAAAATAGAAGTAAAAAATAAACCCTAGACTAGGTTAATCAATGATTGATAATTAATTTGTTGAGATAAACATAAGCTTATTTACACACCACTAAAATTAAAATGACAACTAACTAATTAAAATTCATTTCTAGAAGTTGTAAAATATTTTTAAAAAAATTATTTTTATGTGAAAAAAAAAGTTTTTTTTTTTCAAAAGTAGAGATTAGAAATTAGAAAAAGGCTATAGAAAGAAGCCAAAGACAAAGAAAGGGGAAATTGCAGGAGAGAAAACTTTTCTCTTTTCTCTCTGCAAAACAAAACAAAAAAAAAAGCTTTAATTCTCTCCTGTCAATGGCGGATTTTGTTTCATATATTCATAAAACCTTCCTATCATTTTCCTTTTATTTCTTTTTCTCTAATTTTTAGTTTTTTTCTCTTTTTTTTACCCCTTTTTTGGTCTATAATTGAAAAAAAATCAACAATTTTCAGGTGGGGTTCTTTTTTTTTTTGTCATATTTTTTTTTTACTTTCTGCTGCATTTTATTGTTATTGAGGTTTATAATGATGTGGGGTTGCTTTATTTTTACTCTTTAATTTGTTTTTATTTTTTCCAAAATTGTTGGAGATCTTTTGTATGAATCTGTGCTTATTGTTTTCTTGGAATTATTGAATAATTTGATTGTATAGCTTGGATTTGATTGTTGTAATGTTTAAAGATTCAATCTTTTTTGGTTTTTGTCTGATTTTTCAGAGTGTAAACAGCCGGTGCGGGTAAGTTTTTTTTCATTTTTCAGGTGGATTTGCTGCATTTGAGTGTTCTTTTAGCTTTCATTGCTTGTGTATTTCCTTAATTTGTTACCCCTTGTAAAAAAAAAGTTAATCTTTTACTGGAATGAAAAGTATTTGATTTTCACAGAATCTGAATAATTTCCAGGATTCTTGGAGATTTTGTATTCTTGGGAATTTTGAATTAACAGCTAGGATTTTGTTGTTGTATGAACAGTAGTATCATATATATTATTGACTTATCAAGGATTGTGTGTAAAAAAAATGGAGAAAAAGTACTTAGTTGTCTAAAGAATCAATTTTTTTTTCAGGAGTTGGTTGATCTTATAAAGTATCATGGGTAATTGCTGTGTGAAACCGGGTAAATCTGCCGAAAAAAAGAATAAAAAGAACAACAGCAAACCTAACCCTTTTTCAATTGATTATGGGGGGACTAAACATGCCTCTGGGAGTGGAAACAAGCTAGTTGTATTAAAAGAACCAACAGGGCAAAATATACATGATAAGTATGATTTGGGGCATGAGCTCGGAAGAGGAGAATTTGGGGTTACTTATCTATGTACTGACTTGGAAGGAGGAGAAAAATATGCTTGCAAATCGATATCTAAAAAGAAGCTAAGGACTGCAGTGGATATTGATGATGTTAGGAGAGAGGTTGAGATCATGAAACATTTGCCTGTGCATCCGAATATTGTGACCTTGAAGGATACTTATGAGGATGATAATGCAGTGCACATTGTGATGGAATTGTGTGAGGGTGGGGAGTTGTTTGATCGAATCGTTGCTAGAGGCCACTATACAGAGAGAGCAGCTGCTGGAATTTTGAAGACTGTCGTGGAAGTCGTTCAGGTATAGTTTTTATCAACTTCTTAGTTCTCAGTTACCTACTGCTTTTATTACCTTTTGCTTAGGTTATCTTATTATATCCATTATTTTCAGCATAGCTTCTTCATTACTGTATTTCCTTTTCATATTGTTTTTATATATGTCTTACTTAGGCTGAGGGTCCATTGGAAATAGCCTCTCTACCTTCACAAGGTAGGAGTAAGGCTGCGTACACACTACCCTTCCCACACCCCACTTGTGGGACTATACTAAGTATGTTGTTGTTTTAGTTCTCAATTGATGCTTTTTGGTTTTTATGTAGTAACTTGTGGTGTTTCTTTTACTGAGTTCTTCAAAGCTTTTGTATGGGTTTTATATCATGACGGATGTATCCTGTATTGTTGTTTCGGGTTTTTATTAAAGAAGTCTGGCAATTTCAAGTTAAAAAGAAAATCATATCTTAAAAGAGAAGCCTAATCTTGAGCAAATCTTGAGCAGATAGCAATTTCAGGGTGAAATGTGAATATTCTTGGTGAAGTTGCATATGAACTGGTAACCATTATTCAATTCATTTCTAGTGTTGATCTTTGCAATCAATGGTTTCATTCTAGTGTACGTTCATGCTGTAGCATTTACCTTGATATCCTCATGGAATTTCCTTTACTGCCAAAATTATAATGAGAAGTGGTTATCTTTTTTAATAATGGTAAAGTATGAGAAGAGGTTTTCTTATGTTCTCAGTCTTTGCTAGTTCTATTTCTTTACTCGTTTTACTTAACTTTTTTAGTTTCTTGTGAACTGTAGTATTGCTCTATATCTTCTCACTCAAATTCATGTTCTAAATCTTAACCATTCTAGTGATATAAATGAAGTTAATTGGTGATATAGGATATCCCCCTCCAAAATCTAACAATCTTTCAACTCATCATAGTCTTGGGCAGATAGCTAGTTAGAACCGTAACAAATATTTAGGAAAGTAGATCATTCGAAATAGTTATCCTTGTGAAATATTATTCTTTATCTTCATTATTGACCATTGGTTTTCAAACTCTAGTACTCTTAAGTGGAAGACTCACTTCTTGTTTCTGTGGAGTATTAGCTATAGCGGCCTACAACAGAATTTGATTGTTGCACTCAAAGTTAAACAGAGTTCTACAGTTTAGGGAAATGATAATGGAATTTAAATTTAGTTTGTATACTGAAGTAAATATGGTTGACACTATCAGAAACAAGTGCTTTTTACTTCAAATATTGATCTTTATCCTCATTGCGAACCATTGATGTCCAAACTGTTTTAGATGGAAGAGCAATTTGTTGTTCATTTGAGTGGAATAGTCACCAACAACAGCTAATTAACTACGTATAGCTTAGAGAGATGCGAACCAATGGTAAATTTAAGTTGTCTCCTGAAGTAGTTACTGATTGTTCATGATAAAGGTCATTAAAGTTGAATTCTCTATTTAGTCAGTGTCCTTTTCTGCATCGACTATATAGTGGCCTGAATGACATTACAAAATATTTATGAGTTGGTAGGAATCTTTTTTTCATATGTGAATCATGAATGTGTTCACAAATGATCAATCAGAGAGTGATTATTGTATTATGTGGTGTTGATAACTTTTGAACTTTTCTTCATTTGGTTTGTGTTTAACTGTTATCTGAAAGGCTTGGTTGGTGGTACTAAAGCTATTGGATTAGCAGAAAACTTTATACATGTTTATGGTCATGTTTCGCTCTCCAGTCCCCGTTTTTATTTGTCAAAGGTCAGTTCATATATTTCCAATGGTTTTGCAGATGTGTCACAGGCAAGGGGTAATGCATCGTGATCTCAAACCTGAGAATTTTCTTTTTGGTAACAAGAAAGAAACAGCTCCACTGAAGGCTATTGACTTTGGGTTGTCTGTTTTCTTTAAACCTGGTAATGGAATTGGAAAAAAAACAGTGAGTTTAAGACTTTTATCATGCTAAACAAAGGTTTAACATGTTGATTATTTTAACAGGGGAACGCTTTAATGAGATAGTGGGAAGTCCTTATTACATGGCTCCTGAGGTCCTAAAGCGCAATTATGGACCAGAGGTCGATGTCTGGAGTGCTGGAGTTATACTTTACATTCTTCTATGCGGTGTTCCACCTTTCTGGGCAGGTCTGCTTATTTTATTTCTTCGTTTTTTATAACCATGGAACGAACCTCAATGCAGATATTTTCATGTGCAATTTTTGGAACTTGATAATTGATTAACTAAGATTGTGAATATGAAGTAGAACTTGATTCATGTTAGAATATGTTGTTGAAATATTAGATGATGAGGCAAGTGAGGTGAAAGACTGTCCCTGCTTTAATCAATGTAGATCATGTTCAATTATTTTGGTTTCTCTTAATGGTTCTTATGGGTTGGACTTTGCTAAATAACTTGCATAAATATGTTAACATATTCTTGATACTTCCCTTAAGTTCCTCTGAATATTTGCAGAGACTGAACAAGGAGTAGCCCAAGCGAT